TCAAGGGCTACAAATCATATGAAGACACCTTTGCGAGAATCTGAGAGGAAGAAGGTGAAAACAGACGATGAAGTCAGATGATCTCTGCTGCGATTTCAGAAAGACACCTTCCACCGTTTGGATCATATCTCTTGATTGGATGATTCAAATAACATTCAGAAAATTGGGGTAGATAGAGGACTTCATTATCTACAACTTTCATGAAGGAAGTTTTGTCAAATTCGGAAGTTAAGTAGGCACGATCGTGCCCTCAAAGTCAGACACGATCGTGCATGAAGAGAAAAGTACCGCGGAGTTACTGCCAGCCAGGCACGCTCGTGCCTGGAGGGAGGCACGCTCGTGCCTGGAGGGAGGCACGATCGTGCCTGCCCAAAATGCGCGTTTTTGCTCCGGAGGCACGATCGTGCCTGGAATCGTGTCTGGCTCCGAAAATCCTAATTCAGCTCAAATTTCACCCGATTTTTCTATTTAAACAGCCTGTAAACCCCCGTTTTCAAGGGGGAGCTTAGAGAGAGTGCCTAGCACGAATTTTAGAGGTCTTTTCAGCCTTGTTCATCAATCTTTTGGGATTCTTTGTAAGTTCCACCTTTTTAATTAATGACAATTAATTCTTTTTATTCCAATTCTATTGATTCTTCAATTATGAATTGTGAGTAGTTTTAATTAGGGATTTGGGATTGATGAAGGGGTTAATCATGATGTATGGCTAGATTCTTTTCGGTTTAATTGCATGAATGCCGTTTAATTTGTGTTTGAATAATTTAATTGATATCTTTTGTAACCTAGAATCGTGACTAGAATTACAATTGCATGTAGAATAAATTAAGAGAGATCTAATTTGTTCTAGGACACATTCACACACACTTAATCATTCGCTAAGAGATTAGTACCGATTAACGGGCCGTAAGCTCGCTCGTATTGGCAATAATTTAGGATCCTGTCGCATGAGAGATCAGCATGGTCCCCTAAATTATTGTACTCTACGCCGCGAGAGCGGTAAGAACTTAGTAATGATTAGTTAGGCTCAATTAAATTAATTTCATGTAATTAGGCCTGATCTGCCAGAAATCTGGTTACCCCGGAATCGATCCCTGTTCCCTTCGTCATTAATTAGAAAGAACCCCCTAGTTTAATTGTTCGCATTAGTTTTATTTTCCAAACCAACCAATTCTCGCACGACGCTTTTATTTTATTTTCTTTTTAGTCGCTGAATTTAATTAATTCTTGATTCCCTTTTGTCCGTCCCTGTGGAGACGATACTCGTACTTACACCACTATATTACGATCTATTTTAAGTGCGAGAAAACACACACCAGTTTTTGGCGCCGTTGCCGGGGACGGTGTCGGTTTTAAGGGTTAATTAATTTCAGCGAGATTTTTTTTAGTTAGTTTATTTTAGTTCTTCGTAGGATTTTTTCTGTGCTGACCTCTCAGGTATTTTTCAAAGAGGCATGAGATGAACCCATTCAGCCAAATTCCTGGAGGAAGTCCTTTTCCCCAAACCTCCATGGAATTTTCATCATATACGCCATACCTTCCTTACACTCCTCCTCCTCAATATTACACACCTCATCAAAATTACTCTCCTACACCACAAAATATTCAGCCTTCTTATCCGTACACTCCAACCACACAACCCTTTCATTCTGATTCTTACTATCCTTCATCACATTACCCTTGGGTAAGCGTAAGACGAGGCTCAGCATTGGTAGACACGGCATTTGGATCTCTCCTAGGTGGCATGGTGTCTCCACAGGAATAATAACTTACATTAGTAAGGAAAATTCTTCCTAAGGATCCTAGAACTAAGATTTCCATAGGCTACAAAGTTAAATATTTTACCACATAAGTGCAAAACTTCACCATATAATATTCACACGTAGGATTCACATTTCATATCACAACATTTTTGCACATAATGTACATACTTTGGCCACTTTGGAATTTTTCCTTATGAGACATTCTTTTCAACACTTGGGGTTCTCATTTCACATATGGGCCCAAAATTCTCAAATTTTCACATAATATATAACATAAAAGTAATACTCACAAAGTCCTCACCACATTCCTAAAAAGCCATTTCCTAGCTATATTGGTTTTCTTAGTCTTGAAAATTTTGAAAATTTCCCGTTTGGAGGTACAATTTCAAAGAGATTTTACAAGTTGGTTTTAGAGCCCTAGGTTTTCCAAAGGGATTAGAACACGAGATAATAGGTCGTAGGGAGATATTCTGTCCTCAAGAATATAAGAGTCGAAGGTAGTTGGTTCCTAAATGAGCCTTTGCGCTCATCCAATTAACTGAGAATTTCTCCTTGTGTTGAAACTTCGTCGTTCGAAATCCTTAAAGGAAACCCTTAGAATTGTACCTCCAAACGGGAAATTTTCATTTTTTTTAAGATCGGGAAAAATAATATAGCTAGGAAATGAACTTTTAGGAATGTGGTGAGAACTTTGTGAGTATTACTTTTATGTTATATATATTATGTGAAAAATTGAGAATTTTGGGCCCATATGTGAAATGAATAACAAAGTAAGTGGTAAATGATCAAATTTAAAAAGTACATGTAAAAAACTAACCAATTACCCCGTCATAGAGTTAGACGTACTACTGCCTAGATGGAATCACACAGGCTTTCACATATAATCCAGATAGCAGAACTAAATAGTTAAATTTTGAAAGCCTCATATAAAAGTGGACCTTATTCTAAAATATCACTGTTGAGGTTTAGTCCCGTAGATCCTAAAGTGTTGAAGGGATTGTCTCATAAGGAAAAATCCTAAAGTGGTCAAAGTATGTACATTATGTGCAAAAAAGTTGTGATATGAAATGTGAATCCTATGTGTGAATATTATATAATGAAGTTTTGTACCTATGTGGTGAAATATTTGACTTTGTAACCTAGGGAATCCTTTGTTCTAGGATACTTAGGGAAAGTAGGAAGAATTTTCCTTACTAATGTAAGTTATTATTCTCGTGGAGACACCATGCCACCTAGGAGAGATCCAAATGCTGTGTCTACCAATGCTGAGTTGGCGCAAGCCCTCACACAGCTCACACACACAATCAATGTAGCGTTCCTGCAAAACCACCAAACCAACAATGACAATGACATGGAATAGCGTGTAGCGGCATGGAATCCGCAAAACTTCATGGGGCAAGAGGACCCGATCATACTCGAGAACTGGATCCGCACTTTCGACAAGTTGTTTGATGCAATTAATTGCCTAATAGAACGACGGGTCGATATTGCTGCGTATTATCTGCAGGAAGAAACATATCATTGGTGGGCTGTTGTTGGCCCACCGTTGTGAGAACAACCTGATTTCACTTGGGAACCGTTCAAGCAGGCATTGCGGAAACGATTTTACCTGGAACACGTGCAGGCGGAAAACTACGACAAATTTCTACACTTGAAGCAGTGAGAAATGACGGCGACAGACTATCACACCAAATGTGTTGCGCTGGCAAGGTTTGCAACATCCATGGTACCTGATGAGAAGACCAAGACCAACATGATCGTCATTAGACTTAACTACGACACGCAGAAGGCACTAGTTGTGCATATATGCCAAGCATTGGATGAAGCCTATGACAAGGCCACAAAGTATTATCAGGTACAAAAGTTACAAATGGAGAGAAACCAGAAGATGAAGAGCGAGGTCGGGGAGAAAAGAGGTATAAACTGAACCCACCTACACAACAAGATTACACGAAGAGGAGAGATGACCATTGTGGAAGAAATTTCCACGGTCAAAACCAAAGAGACGATCAGAGAGCTGCTCCTAGAGATAGACATTCCTATTGCAAGAAATGCGGGAGAGATCACCGTGAGTTTAACTGCGATGGGAGCCTAACCAAGTGCTTCAATTGAGGGAAGTTAGGGCACTGAGCTTTCGAGTGCCTCTCAAAGACCAATGGGGCACCATCGAACCAGGTGCAATATCGTGATGGAGGGAGGCCATGTGTGAACCGAACCGGACCCAATGGCGGGCAAAAAACAACAAGATTGCCACCAACAACAATCGCAACCATCAAAGAGGATCTAAGTGCAGAATAATCGTGGCCACAAAAATGGTGGGAACAATGGCAACCGTCCAAACCAAGGGCGAATCATGGTGATGAACCAAGTCAATGCCAAGAAAGTGGTTTCAGGTACATTCTTTGGTGATTCTCACAGTTCCATATCTTCAAGTTTGTAAAGAAATTGGAGATTGAACCAACGACTAGAATAGACTTGAATGTAAGAATTGCCTCAGATAGATTCGTAGCTTGTTGGAATGTATACACCAACATTTCCATACTCATATCTGAATTTAACTAGGTTGGGTAAATACAATGAAGCCTACTCAATGAATTCTTAATTGAGTTGATGCCTCGAACTGCACCAATTTCAAAAGCAACTTA